TTTCGATCCATCTATTGTTAGTCAAATTGGTCCGTTTTTGGCCATGTATTGTTAAGTCAGTCTCTTAGAAGTCCGTTTGTTGGTTTCATTTTCGTCGTGGAAACCCTTCAGGTGGTAGGAATATAGAACATTATTGTCCATCAAATATTTTTGCTGGCACACGATTGGTTTAACTATGTCATGTGACCAAATATTCACAGCTAAAACTACAGAATATCTGAATATTCCCCAATTTTTAAAACTGTGCACATTGTAAAAAAGATTTGAAGAATAATAAACACAATACCCTCCATTTGGGGCAAAAATATGCTTGAATATTTGTCCTTGGACATAATCTGTTCCTAGAAACTCACAGTTTTCCTTGAGGTACACTCTCAGAAAACTGTTCGCCTCTCGCAACAGGTAATGTCCACGGGCAAATATCCTAGCATATTTTTGCACCAAATGGAAGGTATTGTTTATATAAAGCCCGAGGTTGAAAAATTGTCCAGAACATCACACTAATCACAAGATAAAATTGTAATTGCCAAATTTAAAACACTTATCCTTTGGAAAGTGATTTTTCTCGTGGATAGCAATGTCCACCAATTAAGCTGGGTCCACCACAACAGTATGCCCTCTAAACCATCTGTTAGTCTAAACAGCCACATCTTCACACACACCTAAGTCTAATTTACTTGGTTTGGCCATGGGAGAGATGGGGCTAGCCATTTGCCTTGAGGGAGCTACATGTATTAAACTACAGTAGTCAATAAAGTCATCGAATATTATGGGCAGGTAAACAAGCTGAAGTTAGCTGGTTCATCTTCCTTTCTCAACAGGGTGGGATACTGGTGATAAAGGTTGTTCATGCAAAAGTACCTTGCTGTTGAGATCTAAGTTGACAAGCTTCCTCCATCATATCATCTGCAAACTGCTTCTGTTTATGGTGGTAGCTGCTCCACCAACTTTTGATTTGAGACTCTTTCAGCTAAGGAAGACCTGCATCCTTCATAGCTTTGATAGCATCTGCTGGATTGGCCCTTATCTGGGATGACCTTTGGTGATCATAAAACTGAATCATGATTTCTTTTTGTTCATTTGTGAATGAGGTTTCCTTTGCACCACTTTTTTCAGGGCAAATCCAGCTGCAGGCCTTAGGTCATTATTGACTGAAGCTTCATTTCAAGGTACAAGGACTAGTTCTTCAGGGGTAGCTGTAGAGAGCTGAATGAACTGTACAGAGTATGAATCACTTTTTGAATTTGTATTCACATCCACTGTTTGGTCTGATGGTTGCCACATGTCTACTGTCACAATAGCACCTGTGGCTCCAGCTAACTGCACACATCCCATTGAAAGAACCTGGACTTGTGCCTTAGTTTTGCTGAGAGATTTTCCTTGACCAGCCAAAGATTGTGCCACAATACCACCAGCGTTTGGTCCATTGCAGGGAATCTTGAAACTTCCAAAAAGTGAGATGTCTTTAAGAGTTCCAATCTTCCCCAGAGCCTTTGATCGATCAATCACCAGTTTTTTGCATCTCACATTCTTCATGGTCTTAAGCAAAAAGACAGGTTTCATCTGTTAGCTACCCCTTTATCCATACTGTTCTCTATACATCTGTTATGACTACATTTGTCACTGGAAATACTATGTAGTTTGGCGTGCAAAGTTTTATCTCAAACCCAGACTGTTTTCTTAAATTATAATTTCCATGAATGGTTCAAATTAAATTGCTATTAATGGTAATTCAAGTAAAAATGAGCCATCAAAGTTTCCATTCAAGATACTATAGTTTATTCCACTGAAGGAAATTTGGAAATATTCATGTGGATTTCTTGTTGGTAAATTAACTTAATCCATAAATGTCAATTATTTTCAGCGTCTTATCGTGAATGGTAAGTTGCACTACTCTACAGATGGATTCTAGAAGTAAAACATTCCAGTGAATTGTTGAGGAAGCCATGCAGGTTCAATAGCATGCTTAAGGCCATATTACTGCACAATTAAAAATAGCCATTACACCAAGCTAAACACGCAAATTTTAATGACACAATAAACTTGGATTAAGGTCACTAGAAGTAGGAGAAATGGGAAACTTGTTACTTAGAGCCAGCAATAGAAAATCAGTTATAGAATGATGCAAGTTGCCATTTTAGAAATTAGAGTTGTGTTGGTGTTCAATATTTGCAAAATAATTGTGATCCATTAGCAGTGGCAGATCTACAGGAGGGGCCCACCTCCCCTTATTTTGGGTAAAAAAAGAAATCACAGAAGAAAGGAAAGCCATCTGGGGAAGCAAAACAAAACTGGGCCCCCCTCGTAGCTCAAGGTCTGGATCTGCCACTGATAAATACCAAGTGTTTAAAATATGACAATGGTCTGAATATAATTATGGTCAATTGTTCAGGGGTTTCATTGACATTTTTAGTAGAAAGGCCACTGGTATTAGGAGATGGGCAAACAACTTTTAAAGAGAAATAATGGCATCTCCTTATCAAAGGGCAAATCATAATGCATGTGTGAAATTAGAGAGCAAGAGCACAATATGACCACAAAGGCAAAACATAAATGCATACCAAAGGACTTAATAAGAGCAAGAATATGGCCTCCGATCAAAAGGTAAAACTGCATGAATGAAAACCCATAAAAAGGGTTGTTCGATGAAGTAGTATGTACTAATTATAAATCAACTGTATACAATAGTTGTCTGATGTGTAAAACAAAGATCCAAATAGTTGTTCATAATGTTGTAAAGTGTCATAAATGCAAGCTAACCAGTTTTTGTTATTAAGCTCCTAGACACATCAGTAACAGAATTTATTAGTCCTTACCAATGACTTGAACTATGAACACATTTTTATAGAAGGTAGCAGATAAAGTCACTGATTCTACTGAAAACCAACTACTAGAATATTTTTCAATCGAAACCTTACGGTTTACAGTCAGTGACAAAGTCATCTTGTAAGCTGCAAGACAGATATTTAGAACATAATATACAGGGACCACTGAGCATCATTTGACTTGGGATATTACCAAGCACATAGTGAGTGAGATATGGTCGTAAATAATTTGACACTGTACTTAGAGCTTCAGAACTGCTGAATGTTTGACTTTGTCATTTTCAAGCAATTGATTATTCATCAAATGGAATCTATATCAATTACAAAAATCTCGTATGGGGGACCTTTCTATAGCTATGCACTATTGTGCTAGGAGCTTTGCATCCCCTGGTATGATGCATGACAATTTGAGTTTAAAAATTGTTACAGTTAATAACCAATAGGCTCTATTTATTAGGTCACAAGAAAAGCTAAAAGAGCTTCATACACATGTATGTGATTAATTTGTGCATGTTCAGTTCAAAGAACATTGGATTCAATCTCAACATCATACGCACAACTGGATCATTCCGCCATTGTACACTGTCTTCCCTCTGAACTACTCAAGAGACGTCATGTTAGAAATTTAATTACCTGATAATGAATGCTATTTTTGTCAAAATAGCCATGTTTAATAAATTGTTACGTTCACTTCATTAAGTAGTAATTTCTTTGCTCTGATTGCATTAAGCATAAACTGTTAAGCAGTAGCTACTTGCACACTTTGTGAGCCCATTTTTTATATGCTACAAACGCCCAAGCTGCACAAAAAGGGAAACTGGACTCTAAAATTAGTGCAGTAAAAGTGGAAATAAAAGAAATGAGGCTGAATATGCCTTACGATGAGAACAACTTGAATTAAAAAAGAAAGACCGGGAGGAAAAGAGTAAGAATGATGAAGAAGCAGCTAAGAGACAAGAGGACTTAATGAAGATGATGGTGTAGCAGAACCACATTATGTTGCAAGTGATTAGCAAGCTTCTTCATAAATAAGCTTATTTAATGTTGTGTTTGTCATTTAACCAAACAAGAATTGTACTTTCGAAAATGTCAGCTTTCATGCTTGATTTTTTATTGCTGTACATGTTTGTTTTTAGGTACTAAACTTTGATTGTTAGTATTTGAAGTGTTATTGTAATTCCTTGTCTCTTTAATGAAACAGTTATGATTCTGTGACAGTTTTCCTTAACAGAGTTTAAAACATGTAAGCATAAACCTTATTAATGGGATCATTCAGGTTTAAGAGAAGTATTCATGTACTGTAGGAGGTGTCAGCCCCCCAAAAACTCTGATGTCTGATGTCCATATAGAATGGAATGTTTTTAATGCTTTTAATAGTAAAACATGTTGTAGTAGACAAAAAGTCTTTTATTGTTGTGAACATTAAGATACACAGTTATGGTCCAGGAAAAGAAATTGTTCACTGCTGGGGGCTCCAGACCTAGTATTTTGGAATGTTTTAATTTTTTTTATGATAAGACATGAAAAATAAGCACTTGCTGTTTGTGAAAAATACTCATTTACTGTTGTGGGCTCCAGACCAAAATAGGCACATGTTTGGTTTCCATACGTGCATGTTATGGCATTTCTCATTAAAGCACATACTATGTACTTTGTACCGACTGTACTCAGACCTATCTTGAAATTGCTTTTGAAATCCAGAGGCTTAAGAGATTTGATTACATCTCCAAAGATCCATTCAACTGAGGTTTGCACTGGGCTGATGGACAAAGTAAAAGCTTCCATTCCTGGGGTTAATCTTGCATCCCTAAATGGTGCCTGTAAGTGGACCCTTTAGGGATATGCTGGATCCCCGTACAAACACGTGTCCTGACCAGTAGGAGATTAAGCGTGGTTCTCCAAATCATCCATGAGACCAGAATCTCTGAGCATGCCGGCATCATGACGTTTACCTGCTGAAACAGCCTTTAGGAATTTGTTGACAGGTAATTCTTCATTCAATACTGTTTTTCCATAGACTTTTTGCTCAAGTGTTTGTCGAACGTGCATAGCGTAGTAACCAGGCATTTGATCAGATTGGAAGATGGAAAACTGGACACCGGAAGCAGCCCGATGTTTTTAAGAGTTTTGCAGGTATTGCTCAAAGCACCGTTCCTGTAACTTGTCTCGCAATGGCTAAACAAAATTGAGAGATAAGTAGTAAGAAGTAATTCCTATTTTTGTGCACTTGAAATAGGTAAACAAACCAATATGTGTGTTGTTGACAGAATGCAAATAAGGCNTTATTTCTTTTTGTTCATTGGTGAATGTGGTTTTCTTTGCACCACCTTTTTTCAGGGCAAATCCAGGTGCAGGCCTTAGGTCATCATTGACTGAAGCTTCATTTCGAGGTACAAGGACTAGTTCCTCAGGGGTAGCTGTAGAGAGCTGAATGAACTGTACAGAGTATGAATCACTTTGAGAATTTGTATTCACATCCACTGTTTGGTCTGATTGTTGCCACATGTCTTCCGTCACAGTAGCACCTGTGGCTCCAGCTATTGGCACGCTTCGCATTGAAAGAGTCTGGACTTGTGCCTTAGTTTTGCTCAGAGTTTTTCCTTGACCAGCCAAAGATTGTGCCACAATACCACCAGCATTTGGTCCATTACAAGGAAACTTGAAACTTCCAAAAAGTGAGATGTCTTTAAGAGTTCCAATCTTGCCTGGAGCCTTTGATCGATCGATCAGCAGTTTTTTGCATCTCACATTCTTCATGGTCTAAAGCAAAAAGACAAGTTTCTTCTGTCAGCTACCCCTTTGTCCATACTGTTCTCTGTACATCTGTTATGACTACATTTGTTATTGGAAATATTATAGTTTGGCATGCAAGGTTTTATCTCTTGTTGCCTTGACTTCTACCACGTTAATTGTTTGTTAAACAGGTTTATTACAAAGAAAATATTGATAGTAGTGTCTATCATGGCCAAGTGGTTAACTGGAAAAAAGAGTAATGGGAACCTTAATTTACAAACTTAGCTTGAATACACAAACTTAAAAAAAACACACTCCTCTAGCTTTGAACGTTTGAGCACTGTAAGAAAAAGTGGTGAGACTTATTCAAGGCTATATGTACCCCCAAATTATGATTCAGTTAGAATTTAATTTCTAAATACCTCCAAGAGATTTGNCATGTATTGTTAAGTCAGTCTCTTAGAAGTCCGTTTGTTGGTTTCATTTTCGTCGTGGAAACCCTTCAGGTGGTAGGAATATAGAACATTATTGTCCATCAAATATTTTTGCTGGCACACGATTGGTTTAACTATGTCATGTGACCAAATATTCACAGCTAAAACTACAGAATATCTGAATATTCCCCAATTTTTAAAACTGTGCACATTGTAAAAAAGATTTGAAGAATAATAAACACAATACCCTCCATTTGGGGCAAAAATATGCTTGAATATTTGTCCTTGGACATAATCTGTTCCTAGAAACTCACAGTTTTCCTTGAGGTACACTCTCAGAAAACTGTTCGCCTCTCGCAACAGGTAATGTCCACGGGCAAATATCCTAGCATATTTTTGCACCAAATGGAAGGTATTGTTTATATAAAGCCCGAGGTTGAAAAATTGTCCAGAACATCACACTAATCACAAGATAAAATTGTAATTGCCAAATTTAAAACACTTATCCTTTGGAAAGTGATTTTTCTCGTGGATAGCAATGTCCACCAATTAAGCTGGGTCCACCACAACAGTATGCCCTCTAAACCATCTGTTAGTCTAAACGGCCACATCTTCACACACACCTAAGTCTAATTTACTTGGTTTGGCCATGGGAGAGATGGGGCTAGCCATTTGCCTTGAGGGAGCTACATGTATTAAACTACAGTAGTCAATAAAGTCATCGAATATTATGGGCAGGTAAACAAGCTGAAGTTAGCTGGTTCATCTTCCTTTCTCAACAGGGTGGGATACTGGTGATAAAGGTTGTTCATGCAAAAGTACCTTGCTGTTGAGATCTAAGTTGACAAGCTTCCTCCATCATATCATCTGCAAACTGCTTCTGTTTATGGTGGTAGCTGCTCCACCAACTTTTGATTTGAGACTCTTTCAGCTAAGGAAGACCTGCATCCTTCATAGCTTTGATAGCATCTGCTGGATTGGCCCTTATCTGGGATGACCTTTGGTGATCATAAAACTGAATCATGATTTCTTTTTGTTCATTTGTGAATGAGGTTTCCTTTGCACCACTTTTTTCAGGGCAAATCCAGCTGCAGGCCTTAGGTCATTATTGACTGAAGCTTCATTTCAAGGTACAAGGACTAGTTCTTCAGGGGTAGCTGTAGAGAGCTGAATGAACTGTACAGAGTATGAATCACTTTTTGAATTTGTATTCACATCCACTGTTTGGTCTGATGGTTGCCACATGTCTACTGTCACAATAGCACCTGTGGCTCCAGCTAACTGCACACATCCCATTGAAAGAACCTGGACTTGTGCCTTAGTTTTGCTGAGAGATTTTCCTTGACCAGCCAAAGATTGTGCCACAATACCACCAGCGTTTGGTCCATTGCAGGGAATCTTGAAACTTCCAAAAAGTGAGATGTCTTTAAGAGTTCCAATCTTCCCCAGAGCCTTTGATCGATCAATCACCAGTTTTTTGCATCTCACATTCTTCATGGTCTTAAGCAAAAAGACAGGTTTCATCTGTTAGCTACCCCTTTATCCATACTGTTCTCTATACATCTGTTATGACTACATTTGTCACTGGAAATACTATGTAGTTTGGCGTGCAAAGTTTTATCTCAAACCCAGACTGTTTTCTTAAATTATAATTTCCATGAATGGTTCAAATTAAATTGCTATTAATGGTAATTCAAGTAAAAATGAGCCATCAAAGTTTCCATTCAAGATACTATAGTTTATTCCACTGAAGGAAATTTGGAAATATTCATGTGGATTTCTTGTTGGTAAATTAACTTAATCCATAAATGTCAATTATTTTCAGCGTCTTATCGTGAATGGTAAGTTGCACTACTCTACAGATGGATTCTAGAAGTAAAACATTCCAGTGAATTGTTGAGGAAGCCATGCAGGTTCAATAGCATGCTTAAGGCCATATTACTGCACAATTAAAAATAGCCATTACACCAAGCTAAACACGCAAATTTTAATGACACAATAAACTTGGATTAAGGTCACTAGAAGTAGGAGAAATGGGAAACTTGTTACTTAGAGCCAGCAATAGAAAATCAGTTATAGAATGATGCAAGTTGCCATTTTAGAAATTAGAGTTGTGTTGGTGTTCAATATTTGCAAAATAATTGTGATCCATTAGCAGTGGCAGATCTACAGGAGGGGCCCACCTCCCCTTATTTTGGGTAAAAAAAGAAATCACAGAAGAAAGGAAAGCCATCTGGGGAAGCAAAACAAAACTGGGCCCCCCTCGTAGCTCAAGGTCTGGATCTGCCACTGATAAATACCAAGTGTTTAAAATATGACAATGGTCTGAATATAATTATGGTCAATTGTTCAGGGGTTTCATTGACATTTTTAGTAGAAAGGCCACTGGTATTAGGAGATGGGCAAACAACTTTTAAAGAGAAATAATGGCATCTCCTTATCAAAGGGCAAATCATAATGCATGTGTGAAATTAGAGAGCAAGAGCACAATATGACCACAAAGGCAAAACATAAATGCATACCAAAGGACTTAATAAGAGCAAGAATATGGCCTCCGATCAAAAGGTAAAACTGCATGAATGAAAACCCATAAAAAGGGTTGTTCGATGAAGTAGTATGTACTAATTATAAATCAACTGTATACAATAGTTGTCTGATGTGTAAAACAAAGATCCAAATAGTTGTTCATAATGTTGTAAAGTGTCATAAATGCAAGCTAACCAGTTTTTGTTATTAAGCTCCTAGACACATCAGTAACAGAATTTATTAGTCCTTACCAATGACTTGAACTATGAACACATTTTTATAGAAGGTAGCAGATAAAGTCACTGATTCTACTGAAAACCAACTACTAGAATATTTTTCAATCGAAACCTTACGGTTTACAGTCAGTGACAAAGTCATCTTGTAAGCTGCAAGACAGATATTTAGAACATAATATACAGGGACCACTGAGCATCATTTGACTTGGGATATTACCAAGCACATAGTGAGTGAGATATGGTCGTAAATAATTTGACACTGTACTTAGAGCTTCAGAACTGCTGAATGTTTGACTTTGTCATTTTCAAGCAATTGATTATTCATCAAATGGAATCTATATCAATTACAAAAATCTCGTATGGGGGACCTTTCTATAGCTATGCACTATTGTGCTAGGAGCTTTGCATCCCCTGGTATGATGCATGACAATTTGAGTTTAAAAATTGTTACAGTTAATAACCAATAGGCTCTATTTATTAGGTCACAAGAAAAGCTAAAAGAGCTTCATACACATGTATGTGATTAATTTGTGCATGTTCAGTTCAAAGAACATTGGATTCAATCTCAACATCATACGCACAACTGGATCATTCCGCCATTGTACACTGTCTTCCCTCTGAACTACTCAAGAGACGTCATGTTAGAAATTTAATTACCTGATAATGAATGCTATTTTTGTCAAAATAGCCATGTTTAATAAATTGTTACGTTCACTTCATTAAGTAGTAATTTCTTTGCTCTGATTGCATTAAGCATAAACTGTTAAGCAGTAGCTACTTGCACACTTTGTGAGCCCATTTTTTATATGCTACAAACGCCCAAGCTGCACAAAAAGGGAAACTGGACTCTAAAATTAGTGCAGTAAAAGTGGAAATAAAAGAAATGAGGCTGAATATGCCTTACGATGAGAACAACTTGAATTAAAAAAGAAAGACCGGGAGGAAAAGAGTAAGAATGATGAAGAAGCAGCTAAGAGACAAGAGGACTTAATGAAGATGATGGTGTAGCAGAACCACATTATGTTGCAAGTGATTAGCAAGCTTCTTCATAAATAAGCTTATTTAATGTTGTGTTTGTCATTTAACCAAACAAGAATTGTACTTTCGAAAATGTCAGCTTTCATGCTTGATTTTTTATTGCTGTACATGTTTGTTTTTAGGTACTAAACTTTGATTGTTAGTATTTGAAGTGTTATTGTAATTCCTTGTCTCTTTAATGAAACAGTTATGATTCTGTGACAGTTTTCCTTAACAGAGTTTAAAACATGTAAGCATAAACCTTATTAATGGGATCATTCAGGTTTAAGAGAAGTATTCATGTACTGTAGGAGGTGTCAGCCCCCCAAAAACTCTGATGTCTGATGTCCATATAGAATGGAATGTTTTTAATGCTTTTAATAGTAAAACATGTTGTAGTAGACAAAAAGTCTTTTATTGTTGTGAACATTAAGATACACAGTTATGGTCCAGGAAAAGAAATTGTTCACTGCTGGGGGCTCCAGACCTAGTATTTTGGAATGTTTTAATTTTTTTTATGATAAGACATGAAAAATAAGCACTTGCTGTTTGTGAAAAATACTCATTTACTGTTGTGGGCTCCAGACCAAAATAGGCACATGTTTGGTTTCCATACGTGCATGTTATGGCATTTCTCATTAAAGCACATACTATGTACTTTGTACCGACTGTACTCAGACCTATCTTGAAATTGCTTTTGAAATCCAGAGGCTTAAGAGATTTGATTACATCTCCAAAGATCCATTCAACTGAGGTTTGCACTGGGCTGATGGACAAAGTAAAAGCTTCCATTCCTGGGGTTAATCTTGCATCCCTAAATGGTGCCTGTAAGTGGACCCTTTAGGGATATGCTGGATCCCCGTACAAACACGTGTCCTGACCAGTAGGAGATTAAGCGTGGTTCTCCAAATCATCCATGAGACCAGAATCTCTGAGCATGCCGGCATCATGACGTTTACCTGCTGAAACAGCCTTTAGGAATTTGTTGACAGGTAATTCTTCATTCAATACTGTTTTTCCATAGACTTTTTGCTCAAGTGTTTGTCGAACGTGCATAGCGTAGTAACCAGGCATTTGATCAGATTGGAAGATGGAAAACTGGACACCGGAAGCAGCCCGATGTTTTTAAGAGTTTTGCAGGTATTGCTCAAAGCACCGTTCCTGTAACTTGTCTCGCAATGGCTAAACAAAATTGAGAGATAAGTAGTAAGAAGTAATTCCTATTTTTGTGCACTTGAAATAGGTAAACAAACCAATATGTGTGTTGTTGACAGAATGCAAATAAGGCATTTCATCGCATAGCAACAGGATGCATTTTGGCACAATTGGTTTATACCAAGCCATACGGGACTTGGGTGAGAACAATAAGTTTGCCTAGTTTGTATATTCTCAAGCAAAACAAGATGGAGTCATTTGAGTTTACATCTGCTGTTCGTGGCTGTCACATCTACAAAGAGATTTGGGAGCCAAGTGTTGGAGATAAATTTGTTGCTCTAAGAGAGTTACATAATCAGTTCGACAAATATGCCATCAAAGTGCTAAACGGTGAGGAAACAGTGGGCCATCTACCACGCGAATACTCGAGAATAGCGTGGTATTTTCTTGCTCGTGGAGGGTCCGATATCTGTTGCAGTTACTGGCTGTCATCGACGCTGCAAACAGCTTTGTGGGGGAATGGAAATTCCGTGCTGCGTGACGTTTTCCTGTTTGAGAAAAGCACCATAAACCACTTGAAGGATCTCCTAACGAAGAAGGTTTAACGCTTTAAGCGGAGACAAATGTAAGCTCTAGAATAAGCTTACACTTACATCAACAACGGCTCTTTTAGGAGCCACCAAACTTGCAAAAGCAATGAACAGTACTCCCTTGTAGTTTTATGTAATGTTTATTGACATACTTATCCATAAAGTGTAAATTCACTGAGATTTACGGCCACTTTTCCAAATGTTCCCGCGGATAAGCCGCACCCCTGATTTTGAGCGACGATTTTTGGAAAAAAGGCATGGCTTATCTGAGGGTCTTTACAGTATTTGAGTTTGCACTACTACAACCCCAAACTTCCTGGTGAGGTTTGGGCTTGTATTTGGGGGAACATCAGTCCTTAAATGGTAGCTGTATTTTAGATGGTGTAAAGTTAACTCTGTGCTCATTATTGAACCATGTAAGAACTTTTTTAAAGAAGTTTAGGCCAGCAGGAGACTCCGGAAATGCATGTTCCAAGGATCAAAGGATTTACAGAAAAAACAATCTTCACTTTCAGATATTTTGAACCTCTTAAGCTCCTTTTTGGTCACTAAAATACAGTGTAATAATTTAAAGGAGAACTGTCTCAGTTGGTAGTCCGCTGAGAGGTGAGCTATATTTTTTAATAATTTTTTCCATTTAACTTCTACGTAAGAGTAATGTTGGGCCCAAGACTTGACGGCTGTAGGTGTAACCTCTGATTTTTCTTCGCCAGCAATAGCTCAAACAGCGAGCGAGAAAGCTGCCACCCCAGCAGTCAATGATCCTTATAAGCATTTCCTGGCAAAGCAGAAAGAAAGGTAACTCGTGTGGAAGACCCAGCAAGCAGTGAAAAAGGCCAGACTCGACAGTACAAAGAAGTCAACGACAATCAAGGAACCAACAACCGAGATATCAGATGCTGGGAATGAGTCTGTGGATCAGGTCAGCCGCCTGCAACAGCAATTCAATGTTAAGGCTCACAAATGCTGTCACCTAAGGAGCCAACTCGTAAAACTCAAGGAGGATAATACCGAGACTGTAAGAGCCCATCTTGAAAGCCAGAAAGACTGTTTAAGGTTTTTTAAATTTCAACATTTCTTTCTGTTGCGAATAATTTCAATTAATGTAAAATTCACAAAAATTTTGTAAAAGCCAAAGATTTGTTCTAACTTTGGAAGAGAAAGTAAATAAATAGTGGAATAGTGGGTAAAAGGCAAAGCGTATTATTTTACAGTGCTGCGTGCGGTACCGTGAACACCCAGACAGGTTTTCATTTCTGACATATTTTTGATATACTTTAAACTTGTTGATACAGGCGGAATAGAATTCGGTGGGAAGCCAAACATGACTAAAGCGCTGGACTTTTAAAAGCTCACGGTTGTGAAAGATATACTGAAATCTTGACCAAGAGTTCTACAATGCTACACACTCGCGTTCAAAGTGCTTGTAAGTTTTCCTTTTCTAAAATATTTGAACTCTGGTTTGCTTGACGATCTGTTTTTTTTTCTACGACCTGAGAGCTGTCTTGCAAACTAAATTATATTTTTATTCTATTTTACACAAGCTTATGTTCAACTAAGACTGAATAGGTATGGTGGAAGCTTTGATAATGGAAGAACCTTACCTGCAATGTACAGAGAACAAGTGTTGGAATTTTATCATGATGGATTTATCAACCGTCAAATCGCACGGGAAATTTGTTTGAGCCCCGGTTTTGTACAGAAAGTGATAGACCATGACAATGAACAAAACACATCCTTCAGAGGCATTAGAGTTGGCTTTCCTAGTCCCAAAATGGATGAACAAGTCGTGGAGTATATAGAGGTACAAAAACTAATGAAACTGAGCACTTACTCGACCCAATTACAACAGAGGCTTCTACTTGATGGCGTGGTTCATCCTGCCAATCTACCGAGCGTATCACAGATCAACAAGGTCATTTGCAAAGAACTTATAATGACGAGAAAGAAACTTACAACTATTCCACTTGAATCTACAACCCCTGAAGCAACAACAGCTATCAATGATTTTCTTACTGAAATAGCCAACATCAACCCAATGACCCTGCATTTCTTTGACTATTTCAGCGCAATCAAAACTACAGGGAACAGAAACTATGGGAGCGCACCACTAGGACAGGCTGCTTTCGAAATTCAGCGCTACTTGTCTAATGCAACTTTCACTATAAATCTTTTGCATTCATTTTCCGGCATTCATTTTTACAATATACTGGATGGTCCATCTAATGGATTTAAACAAAGTTCTTTTCATTGAACCAGTGCTTAGGGACATGTTAGCCAATTGTGGTGTAAGATTATTATTTCAGCCACCTTACTCACCACATTTCAACACCTGTGAATATTGCTTCCACGAGATAAAGGCATTTTTACGTTGCCACTAGATGCTAGCTCTCAATGAAAACAAAATCGCAATAGTGCAGGCGATGCTTAACATTACTGCCAATAGCTCGTATGCATATTTCAAGCGCTGTGGATACTTTTTATGAGCAACACTTTTTTTACCTTTTTGTAAACCAGATCAGGAAACTTATCTAAGAAAAATGGTACATGATATCTCTGAACACAACATATCATATTTACAAAGTTTGCTGTTTGTTGACATTGTTGAGTTGCAAAATACATGTCACAGACGTAGTAACGCAAGAGATACAACTACAAGAACCGAATATAAACGAAGGTTTGTTTAGCTAATAACTACATAAGTAAAACATTTCCAGAAAAATCAACAAATGAACAAGAATATGAGATTTGCAACGCTATGAAACCAAGTTATTTGTTATTTAACCTTGATAAATATTCCCCACTTTCAAATAAATCAGTGTGCAGGAACTGTTGAGTTCACTTTAGTTTAC